GGCGCGCGCCGCGCCGCTGCTCCCGATGCTCCTGCTGCTGCTGAGCCTCCTGCGCGCAGGTGGGAGCCGCGGAGCGCGCGCGGGAAACTTGCGCGGGAGGGTGGCCCGGGCGGGCGCGGGGCGCGCCGTCGGCGGGCGGAATAATAGTAATAATGATAATAATAAAAGCAGTGGTCTTTTGTCTGCAGGCGGTGGCTGGCGCTGGCAGCGGCGCGTCCCCGCCCCGGCCGCGGGCTGCGTGTTTTGGCAATAAACTCTGGCTCGGGACGGAGCGTCCCCGCGGGTGGCTCCAGGGGCAGCGCGTGTCCCCGTCCCCCCGAGGTGTGCGGGGCGGGCGGCGCTGGCCCTTGCGGTGAAGAGGGTCGCGGTGCTGGGCAGGGCGGAGCAGGGCTTGGAGTSGCCGCGTCTCGCTTAGCGCCGGCTTGGGGGGCACGGGAGCACCGAGGGGCAGCGGGTGCCGTAGGGAGAGGCCGCTCGTGCCTGTGGAGTTGCCCGCAGGGAGCGTTTCGGAGCAGTGCAGCAGCGTCTGCAAGCGGCCGCCTCGCGAGGGTATCCACCGCTTGGGTGGGAGAGGGGCGTCGAGGGGAGCCCTGCACTTGCTCCGGGTCCAAGTGCCGCCTCCAGCGGAGCGCAGCCCTCGGCAGCGCCCTGGAGTGTCAGGAGGGGCTGGGGAAGTCGGGCTGTAGTTTTTCCGCTTCTGGAAACAAAACAAAAATCCCCTAGCAGTTGTGGTGGTTTGTCTTTGTTGTAAGCACTTTACTTTGGTATGTGAAAGAGGGCAGTAGTTGATTTATTCGCTTTGTTGTTAATATTTTTGTTTTGGTAGTGTTCTTGTTTTGCACCTACTTGCTCACTGATAAGCTCAGCTGGAGTGTGATAACTGACAGTTTGGACTTCCCTGTTCAGAATATCTACATGAGTGGCTGTCTCCACACACACACCGGGCTATCCAAAGAATATCCAAAGTGCAGTAATCACAGAGATACAGAATTCCCCTAACRACGCGTAGTTCCCTGGTAGTTCCTGGAAAGCACATAGAAGTCATTAATATCCAGAGATGTCTTTACTTCGTGTGTCTCTTGCCGTGCACTTGAACCTTCATCTCCCGGTTGGGCTGTTGTTAAGAAATGCTTGGGGAACGGGACAGGTAGATTGTGTGGAGGCCACCAGATGCACCCACTGGCTGGTGGGGCAAGGAGATGGGGACCTTTGGATCCTTCATCTGCWTCAAGGTGCAGGCACTTAGGTGTGGGTGTTATTTTCTCTTAGTGGTGCATTACACAAGCTTGTGTTGACCAAAAAAGTGGTAGTTGTAGGTGTAAATGACTTGTGGTTGCAAAGGGCAAGTGACTCTGTCTGACGCTCGGGTCTCAGCATATTCCAGGCTGGAGTTGTGCTGGAAAGCGGCTCGTGTCCTGAGGCGGGTGTGGGACGTGTCGGAGACGACCGTCTGGGCAGAGCCTCAGCCTCGGGCTGTTCTGGAGCCAGCCTGACTCTGTTGCTTTGGGATTGCCCCATTGCAGGCTATTGCATCTGACGATCTCCTGCACTCCCCATTCAGACCTGTCCTCTGCCTTGTTTATTCATATACAAGTTTATATTAAGTATCTTTTTTTCTGGCCTGTAGTCAAGAGCTTTTCCCTTTGGTTGCAAGTAGTGAAGGGGGAGATGGAAAACAGAGCTCAATGAACTTATTGGAGAGTAGCCCCCTCCTCTCTTCCCTCCCCAGCCCTTCCCACTTTTTTTTTTTTTTCCTTTTTTCCTCCAAACATACTTTTGCGCCTCTCCTTCCATTTGGAGGAGTGCCYTGTGTCCCCCTGTGGTGGAATAATCTGGAAGCAGCCTTTCCTGCGTGCTTTGTCCCGGTGCTGCGCCGAGGCGCACCCTGTCCCCGGCGCAGGTCCCGGTCAGGCTSCGGGCTCTGCGCCCGCCTGCAGCCAGGGCTGCTGCTTGGCCACTCGCTCTGCCTCTGGCATGTCTGTTTTCATGGTGCTTCCCGCTACCTGCCAGCTGGCCCCGAGCGGGATTGAAGGAGGAAGATTGAACCTGATAAGGGCTGTGCTTGCTGTGGCTGAGACACGGTCTGGACCTCTCCAGCCCCGTGAATTTCCTGCCCTCCCTCCTTCGCCGTTGGTTTGTTATGTTGGGCTGCCTTGCTCTGCCCGTCCCCGGGGTCTCCTGTGGCTTTTCCTGCCTCCCCTGTAGCAGCCRTGTGGATTCTCCTGCGCCTACATGTGGCCCAAGGCCACGGCCGGGAGCAGAAGTCAAAGAATGTTCAATCCTAAACGCTCTTCCTTCCGCTACAACTGGGAAGCTTTTCTGAGCGAGYGCATAAGTGATTTTTCTTCAGGCTTTATAATAACAAATGTGATAAATTTGGCAAGGAGCGAGATTCACATTTGCATCCAGCTTAAGTACAGTTCATAGAGACTGAAGGCATTTCCATGTGCTCTTTTTTTTCTCSCAACAGAGAGCCTCTCATGGACAGATCAGCCCAGCTGTTAGGCTGTTTAGCTGCGCTGGCTCGCGGGGCCTTTCCTTGCACTGAGGCTCTCGCAGAGAGCTGTTGTTGGCTGTTGAAACAATAACACATCTTTGCAGGTGCACAGATTGAGCCAAGGATCCCAAATTGCCCAGCATAGGGATGCACTGTGGTGCGCAGGTGGATCAACATGGATATATCTTAACCACATGGCCATGAGAGCCTGTGGCAAAGGCTAGGGAAGATCCCAGGAATCACATCTGAGTGGATGTTTCTCATTGTGCAGCTTGTGCTTTTCTCTCTCGGACCTGTTGTTAGACTTTAATGACCCCTCGGGTTTCCTTTGCATTTCATACTGCCTTGTTATTAACAATAATTCCTTGTTAGTGAAAGCTACTCAAAAGAACTTAAGGCAAATCTGTAAAAAGTGAAATACCAAATACCGTATATTTGTATTTTGAAGGAAAGTTTCTCTTCAACCGAAACTTACAGTAAACACTGGAGGAGTCTGAAGGTAAGGAACAACAAATTCTGGACAAAGCAGTAACAGCACAACATCAAAGAGTTTTAACAACATATGTGTTTATCTGCAGTATATGACAGCCAGTCTAAGACCAGTCTCCTGGTCTTGTAAAAGAGAGGCAGTAATTGCTCAAGGTTGAGCTACTTTTCAGCTGTCTTTTTCTCTCTGTCCATGAAGATAACTGCCATTACAGAGATCAATCGTTACATATTGTCCTGCTCCACGTGTGTTACACGCGCATTATTTTACAGATGTTGTTTTCTTTTAATGTGGTACAAACATCTTCCAGGATTTTGACTCATTTCCTTGAGTCTCGTTCAGCTGTTTAAAGAATAGATGGAGGAAATGAGATCTAATATCCTAATGCATTACATTTACTGTAAGTGCCTTCTCACTTTAGGTGAAAACATTTACTTTTTGGTAACTTGTGGATGTCCTTCTGAATGTCCTTGTGAATGTCTTCCCCTGTCCAAGAAATAACCTGCTTTTGTTTCTGTCCATCAGAAACTTAGATCCCCAGTTTGTCTCATCTGTCTTGATAGGACTTCAGGTGTGTACTGTAATCTTACGTAAAGAAGGAGATCTAATGCTGAAAGTCAAGTACATTAGAAAGTGGTGACACAAATTTCTCTATGAGATTTGGATATTAAAGAAAAGTTGAAGAGAATGTGCACACGAATTAGTAGCACTAATATAGAAAACTGTTAATTATTATTGCTCTTCTGTGTTATTTTACTCTACAAGTCTTGCACTGTTTTGTTTTTTTTTTTTAATGACTTTTAGGAAACTAGTCGGGTTTGTCCAAAAGGTGTGTGACCTTCTATAACAATGAAACCTGCAAACAGTCCCAAGTGAACGTAATTTTACGCATGTCAGTAGTTTCTCTGGCTGGTTGCCAAACATAATGGCAACTGAAGTATATTGTTTGTCCATTGGCCAAGATTGCTGCCGTTAGTGATAAAAGCATAAGAGGAATGTAAACATCTGTGTTTGAAGAGAGAATGCCACTCATTTTCTAGGTTATAGCAATTAGAAAGCACAGTAAATGCTAATCTCTTAGTGAATTTACTCTTGGGGATTCAGTTGCKTTATTCAAAAAACATAGGTTTTCAGATATACCTTAAAATGGATTTTTAATGATCCTTATAAGTCACAACAGAAATTTTTGTACGGTATATATGGTCATGTTACCTTCTACAGCGAACAGACACGTAAGGATAGACAAGTTTCTAGTGCTGTTAACACGCTGTGCAACTCTGTGCTCCTCTTCACGTATCACTCCTTCAGACTGCAACTGAAACAAAGCATTATTTAGTAAACGTGATCACCTAAATGGCTCTGTGGTTGGGTTTGGCAAGGTCAAATATGTATGATTTTTAAATATCATTGGAGGGCTGAGTTCACAATCATGTAACATAATTATTAAATATCTGATACTGGGAAGAATTCACTAAGTCAAGTAGGCATCAACAGTTGTAGAGCTGAGCGATAATGAAGATGCATGGGCAGATTTAAGTTAAGAAAAGAGACATCTCACTTCTTAGGAAACAGTGGAAAGAAAGCTTGTAAGTCAGATAGAGATGCTTCCTGAGTATGAAGTTCCTTAGAAGCCTGACATGCCATTTTAGTCTCACTTTTCCTTTTTTGCTTCTAGTTGTCTTAGCTGAACATGTTGTTCATGACAGGGGATAGAAAAGGAAAGTTCTGTGCAAAAGGAAAAACATTGCACATTGGAAAAAATAAGTCCCATTGGGCGTTCCTTCAAGGAGCGTCAYGAATACTCTCCTGCCATTCAGAACTTGTCTTAATTTTGGAGGGGGGAGGAAGAGCTGAGTTAGCTCTAACATTGTCAGGAGTGTTTTAAGTATCCCTGCAGATACTTAAAACACCTGCAGATACAGTATCCCCCCCCCCCCCCCTTTCTCCAGGTTGATTTTAGTTTAACCTGTTCTAAAGCAGACATGGCATAGTGATTCTACTATCCATTTTTTTTTAATGCTTAGCTAGTTATTAAAAGTTTTAAAGTTGTTTCTGTGTTGCTTAACTCCGTTCTT